TTACTTTTTAAAAATTTTTTTCTGACTTTTCGGATGCATTCATGGGCCCATCCTAAAATAATTAAGTTGTAATCACCTTTTATTAATAAGCAATAAATTTAGTTTTAGGCCACAAAGTGTTTTAAGTATTGTTATTTTTACTTATGCTTTTAAACCCATCAAGTCATTCTACGCAGGACTTGGATGATAATAAACCTGAATGTCTTCATCCTTCTCAAAACAAGAAATATAAATAGAATCATGAGTAACCTACACCTTCAGAATTCTGGGTGAGAAGATGTACTAAGAATTAAGACATCTTACAAGTAAAGGAATAAACATCACCTTTTGGTATTCTCACTTATTCTGTCTGCATGTATGGAGAGCTAAGGTGTAGGAGAGTCATAAAAGATTTGAAAAAGAGAAGGGCATGGCAAATATAGATAAAAAACAGACCAAGTCACTCATGAAAAGAAAAATTTCAACACACGTTCCAGACCCAAGTTTCAGACACAGGGTAAAATTAGGCAGGTTCTTTTTGCAGTGTACCAAAACCAGACCATTTTAGTTAGAAACTTGTCCAAAAGAGAACCTTTAGCTCTGTCCAGGACCAGGGGTCTTCCTGGAGGAAGATAATAGATAGATAATAGAATAGGAGACTGCAGGAAGGGGTGAAGGCAATGGCATTGGATTGGATTTAGATATCTCCACATGAACCCATACATATGCATGACATATACAACATACTGTAAAGTGATTCTGAACTATCTATCTGTCTATACAGAAAAAGATAAAACATGTAAAGTATTAAATACAGCATCAGTATATCTTGGCAAAAGATGTGCGGCTGTTGTAAGATGCAGCCTTTCTGCAACACAACTGTTTCAAAATCAGAAGTTTAAATTAAGTCACTGAATCTTTTAATTTTATAATTTTATGTAGAAAATTGGGATACTGGTGTTAATTTTGTCTCATAAGATTATTTTGAACTTTAAATGCACTTTAGCTATGTCTCTCTGTGTGTCTTTCTGTATAAGCAGCAGGTGAGTACATAGCATGTGTACAACAGAGCATGGATGGATGGATGGTAGGTAGATGTAGATGGATAGGAAGGTAGGTAGATATGGTCTTTTGTAATTTTTTTTTATTGGTTCATTAGATTTTTTTCTCTGTACCTGTATCTATCTGTCTATCCTATATCTCTATATCAGTCAGCTTGAAGTATAATGTAATATGTTGAAGTATAATTTGTATACAATCAAATCCAGCATTTTATATATGAAATTCTGAGTTTTAACAGACATTTACAGTTTCATAACATCACCAAAGTAGAAATTTTCATTGCCTTCAAGACTCATATTTTTCTGTAGTCATTTTCTGTTCATATTTTTTGTCTTATCCAGAAAGTCAGAAAAATGAATCATTTTGTTTGTAATACTGTTATGTCTAGCTTCTCTCACATGGAGTAATTCTTAAGAGATTCCTTCGTTTTGTTGAAGGTATTAGTTCTTCTCTTTTTATTGCTTATCTATTTTTCTGCTAATTGTTGGATATTTGATTTGTTTCAAGTATTTCAAAATAATAAGGCTGTTACAAATGTTTAGATTCCTGAGTCATCTAGTAAATATGTTTAAAATTTCTAAGACATTGTCAAACTACTGTACCATTTTGAATTTTCATCAGCAATGCATGAAAGTTTCTGTTGTTTTATATCCTTGTCAGCAGTTAGTGTTTTCACTGCCTATTATTCTAACTCTTTTTCTTTTTCTTGAAAGCCTTTCCAGTAGATGTTCTCTTTGCCCTTTACATAGTAAATGTGAGGCCTTGGGATTCAGTTCTGGAGATAGAGGGGGAGAGACCTATTCTTCATTGGATACTTTCCCCTCATTATTGTTTTGAGAGTTCACTATATATCCTGAATGTATCTTTTTCAAAGTTGATATAACAAATATGAAAAGGCCTATTAGATATATATCAGAAATAATTGATCAGCTTTGTTTAAATTAGAATTTAAGAGTGCTGCTTTCATACCAGTACTAGCTGGATTCTTACCATGACATATTTAGGCTGAGTATAGATCATCAGGTTTGTCAGGATTTAATTTTATGTAATGTGAAAAATATAGCCTGGTCAGGTTTTTGCGAATGTCAGGGAAGGAAAAGCTTATATTTCTAAAATTTCCTACTCACTTTCTCACGTTTTTATGACTGTGATTTGTCTTGCCAGTGTATGTGATTGGCTGGTTACTTTAGGTTTTAAAAAGAGGTATTTTTAGAGAGCTGTTACTACACTGAAAACTAGATGGAGAATAATAATTCAGAATGCCCCAAATTAAAAATATTTTAACCTTATAAATTGCACTGAGCCATACTTTATTCTCTTATTATAGAGAGTAAGACTTACATTCTCATTCAGATCCTTATGTACGGGTCACAGTCAGTGGCATTAAGAGCCCTATGACTGGGTTTCAAAGGTACAACAAATATGTGGCTATATTAGCATTTTTCAACATATATTGTTTTTAATTAGTGTTATACACTTGATTTTTCTTATTTTTGTCTGCAAGATATTCTTTTTTGATTGCCAACTTTTCTAAGTTGATGACATATCACAATGAATATATCATTTTATTTTGTGGTTATGTTTCTATTATCCAACCAACTCCTTAAAATTTATTGAAGAAATCATTTATTGATTATTTTATTCTAAATTTAGGAAGTTTAAAACTACTTTGAAATCTTAAAGAAATGACCAGTATATTTTAAAGACAGTCAAGAAAAGTTACTGTTTTTTTAATGGTAGCATCATACTGTTGTTCCATTTAATACTTCATTCTCTGAGCTTCCCATAACCTGTCTGCCATATTGTACTCAGTATAATTACTGCTTTTGAAAAGGTGAATCTGTCTGTAATGTAGCATCCTGCATTTATTTCCATTAATACTTATGCCTTGATTTCAGTGCCAGAGGGCTTTTATTCTAAATGATGGATTATGTTAGCTTGCCTATGTTTACTTTGGTCATTTAGTCACTGCCCAGCTGTTTCACAATTAGCTCTTTGCTTCTGCCAGTACTAGAGTAATGATCCATCAACATTATTTTTTTTTGCCAGAAGCCAGTGCTGTCTTTAGCAGACTTTAACCCTCCATATTGGATCATTTTATTTGATACCTTTTTAAAGTCATTGTGACATGGTATGATATCTCACTAAGTCAGGACCTAAAGGCCAGTATTTAGTTACAGCTTTACCTACCGCATTAAGCATTAGTCTTAGAAAGAGTCCCTACTTCTTTGTTACTATACTTTTCTTCTTTAAAGAAAAGGAGATCTATAAATAGATTTTTCCAGAAATTATCAGTTGTTTATGAAATATTTGTAATGTATGATATGAGATGAGAATTCTTCTATATACTGTCAAAACAAATACAGGTTTATATACTGATAACTTTATTGAACAGAAAATATAAATTATCCTCATATTTTAGGATTCATAAACTACAAATCTTTATGGCTTACATTTTATGTCTTTTTGACTTTATCTTAATTTTCATTCTTTATTTTAAACATCATTTTATACATTTGTTTCATATATTAATTTATCCTATATGATTCATACCTTCATATCATTCTTTCCTATAATAATGCAACATATAAATAGTTAAAATACTACAAGTTCTATTACATTTCTTGCAGTGATAGTTACCATAATTTACTTAATCATTTCCTTTTTGGGGATACTTATATTTTTTAGTCTGTATTAAATATTATGGTAGGGTAAACAGGATTTGCATAGCATTTTTTTATGATTTTGATAGTTTCCCTTGGACAGAGTTGTCTAAATAGAATTTTATAATATCAGAGCATATGTAGTTTTGTGACTCAATGCAGATTGCCAAATGACTTTCCACAAGTGTTCTGTCACTAATACTATATGGTTATGTTAGCTTCTTCACATCCTTATTAATGTCATATAAAATTTAAAATTTATATACTCAACTAATTTATTAACGTTTGTATCCTCAACTAATTTACTATACAGGGCCTGTTAGTTGGAGGCCAGCCTGTGCTACATAGTGAGTTCAAGGCCAGGCTGAACTACATAGTGAGACCTTATCTCAGAAAAACAAACAAAAAAAGATCTCAACAAAGATTTGTCATTTGACTTAGCAGCTTTCCCCACATATATAATCAAGGAAAATGAAAACATTGTGGACCAACGTAAACATTTCCATGAATTCTCATAGCAGCATTATTCACAGTAGAAAAAAACATGGAAGCACCAAAGTAGACTTTGACAGATGAATGGATTAACAAATATGGTAATACAAAGTTATTCTACTGCGAAAAGGGCTAACAGACTGTGTGCGCTATTAAATATATCAACCTTGAAGACTAAGTAGAAGTATCTAGCCACCAAAGACCACATATTGTGTAAGTCCTTTAACACACTACACAATGTCCAGAATGGACAAAGATAGAGGCAGGAAGAGGATGAGTGGTCGTTCATTTTCTCATGTAAAATTTGGATGAAGTGAACGCATTTGTCATCATCCTCCACCCTCCTGTGTATGGTCATAATTTCTATGTCTCTTGAACTGATCCCTAGAGTCTCATTAATAAGCCAAATTTTGATTTCTATAGAAAACTCAGTTTTGTGGAATAAGGAAAAAGAGAACAGTGATTTTCCTATATGTTTATACTGACAAGTAATTTTGAGACTTGGTAATTTTGACTTACCTGTTCGCCATGTGTGACCTTCATTTGACAACCTGTGAATCTTATTTTTACTTTCTGTTCAGTGTAAAGGTTAATTACAGCTAGACTATATATTTTAAATTCCTATGATTGCACATTTATAGAATTTTTATATGAATCTAAAATGTCATAAAGTATTTTAATTCATTTATTCAACATAACTATATAATTTGAAAATTTTAGTAACTATGTTAATGTACTTTTAACAAATTTACATTGTGACAACTGACAAATGATAGCTTTTCTTTTACTGTGGTTTCCTTACAGATTTGATGAGCTTGTGAAAAAATTCAAAGTCGAATATCATGCTGGTGGTTCTACTCAGAATTCAATGAAAGTGGCTCAGGTTGGTTATTTCAATAATTAAAGAGATTAAAAATGATTCTAAGCTTCTAGTAATTTTGTATAATTGTTCCCATTCTATATTTGATTGCCATAGAGTAGTTTTGTTCATTTTGGATTGTGAATTTAACAGTCATTGCCCATCTAATAAACAGAATTATTTTAATTGCTACTTCTTTGATTATTCGTATGCCTAACATCTTTGAATATGGTTATTGTTCATTTACATTTTATCTCAATTACTAGTATCTACTCACTATTATTTAAAATTTTTTACATGTTACTGGGTTATAGAAATTCTGAATATTTTATGAATAATCTTTGTTTTTATTTTATAAACTGAAAGTGAACTTTGCTTCTCGTGTGTATTACTGTACCAAATTTCTTAATATAAGGTTCTTTTTTGGGGGCCATACTGGGAAATGAACCCAGGGCTTTTGTGATATCAGGGTTGTTTGCTTATGAATCCTTTCACCTGGGCTTGTAGATACTTGTCTTCTTCTGATATCCTCTCATGGCCTTTACATGTGCACATTTGGAGAGAGAGATCTTGAGAATCTTTACCAGTTTCTCTTTTCTCAGTTTGTTAATTATGTAATTGACACTCTTTCCCCCCATTTCTATCTGATGTTGATCTTATTAATTAAATCATCATTGTTTACATTGTTTTTCCTTTGCACATTTCACAGTACTTCATATGCATTTTAAAAATATAGTCTCATTAATGGCTTATTCGTTCTTATCTTTATCTTGAGAAAAGATATTGAAGTTTTGGGTCACGCATCTAATATTTTAATTTGTTGTTAGTAATATATATTTGGAATTTAAATTCTGCCTTGCTTTCAAAACTAGCAGTCACTGTTACACTACATGCAGAGCAGTTCTGTCCAAGCAACATTCATAGATGTGTGGGAAGCATGTTCTATATCATAGATCTGTTGGAGAGAAGAAACGCTCACTGCTTTAAAAATTCATATTTATGTTGTTAATCGTAGCTTTTCACTCTTTAGCCTGTACTCCAGCCTTTCCTCTTCATTGTTCCTCATTTATTATACTTCTGTTAACTAGGGTTAGATGAAAAGATAAAAGGTAATAATGCACTTAATCCATGTCCTTGAAGCTTTCATGGTTATGAAAATGTATTTGGAGATATAGGAGGGAGGGTGGAGGGGGAGAGAACTCTAAACAGTTAAGTAGAATAATAGTTATAGGAGCAATCGTTCCCACCCTCAAAAGATAAACAAATTTATAGGAACCAGAATAAAATATTTTATCACTTTAAGTTGGTTTTTCCAATTCATGAATTTTTTTTTTTTTTTTTTTTTTTTTTTTTTGGTGCAGGGGATCCAACATTGGTCCTTGCGCTTGCAAGGCAGACAGTGGAACCACTGAGCTAAATCCCTGGCCCCAATTTATAAAATCTAAAAGGCAAATTCTGTGTGCTGTTCCAAGTGTACCTGCCCCATGATGTTCATTGCATATTTGAATTATGACAGTTTGCTTTTCTCAAGGGACTTTCCTCTCATGTCCTAGATTGTAGGAAGTTTGAAATTTGAAGTAGGGACACAAAAGGCATCGACCAATGACTTCTTTTTCCCTTCCTAATCCAGGCCCTGCCCCCATACATACATGAGACTGGTTAGTCAACTTACTTTCTGACTTTTTAGTGAAGCCCCTCAGAAGAACTGCGCTAAAGGAAAACAGGGTAATGGTAGCTTCTGACTTTTGAAAGCAGAACAATTCTGGTCCTCTTCTCTAGTTTCCATATTATTATCTACATAAGATTTACTTCTCTTAAAAGCAGTTCTGCTCACTTAGTAGGTCTACTATCAAAACAAACAAATGAACAGAAAATAATGATTGTAGGCAAGGATGTGGAGAAATTAGAACCCTGTGCACTGTGGTTGGAAATGTATGTAGCATGGCTGTTATAGAAAACAGGACTGTGGTGCCTCAAGGAATTAAACATGGAATTCAGCATGAGATCCAGCAGTTGCACTTCTGAGTATGTGATGGACTAAATATTTGTATTTCCCTAAAATTCATATTTTGAAGCCCAAACTGTCACTATGATAGTATATGGAGCTGGAACCTCTTGGGAGATAACTAAGGTTAAATTAGCATGCTTTGCAAGAGTTACAGAAATCTGTTTTGTTTTCTCCACTCTTTGAGGACACAGTGTATCAAATCTGCTAGCACCTTAATCTTGAACTTTGCAGCCTCAGGTTCTATGAGAAATAAATTCCTGTTGTTTCAGTCACCCAGTCACCTAGTCTGTGGTGTTTTGTTACTGTAGTCCAAACAGACTAAAACAGGTACATACCCAAGAGAATTGAAGGCAGAGCCTCAAACAGATATTTGAAACTTAACTCCCAAACAGAATTATTCACTGTAGCAAAAAGATGAAACAGTTCAGATGTCTGTCGGTGGACAAATCTATAGGCAAAATGGGATGTGCATACAGTGTAATAGTATTCACCTTTTCAAAGGTAGAGAATTTAAATATATTTTAGCATGAATCAACATTGAGGTCATTATGCTAAGTGAAAGAAGCCAGTCACAGTCTCATATTGTAGCACTTTAGGGTTCCACTTGTTTGTGGTACTTACTGTAGTTAAATTCACAGGGGCAAAATGTAGCATGATTTGATGGTTGTCAGACCAGAAGGAAGAGAGGGAAGTTTTTCTTTCCTGGGTACAGTTTCAGTTTTGCAAGATGAAATGTGTGGAGATGAATGGTGGTGTTAGTTATACAAAAATGCAAATGTATTATATGTCACTAAAGTATATACAGTCATGCACTTCATATCAGCATTTCAGTCAGTGATTGTCCATGTATAGATAGTATAATGGTAATTCCAAGATTATATCGCCTCATGACCATCCTAGTTTCTGAAAGTCTACTAAATGTTTACACAATAGAATCACCTAATGGCACATATCTCAGACAGTTTCCCCATTGTTAAGTGAAATGTGACTGTACTTTAAAATGGGCAAGATGTTAAATTTTAGGTCAAATGTAATTTATTACAATTTTAAAAAGAAATTCTAGAAACACTTTAGGAGGTACTAGCAGCATAATTCAAGTTATTCTGTCATCAGTGAGGAAACATAACACGTTGGGAGCATGGGTTGCTCTTGGAAGCATGGTATTCCATTGGAAGTGGGTTAGAGTTCAAGGCTTTTTATTTTATTGAATGTGAAGCTGCTACAGGCTGTTTATTCATTTTTGGAAATTTTCATCAGTAAATACAGAGGTTGAAGTTTAAATCAGTCGGAAGTTGTTAAGTATTAAACTAGATGGATGAAAGTTGTTTAAAGTTATACCACTTTTTAAAAGAAAAAGTACTAGGGTTGAAGACAACAAGAAAATGGGGATATCAGCCAGGTGTGGTGGCACACACTTATAATCCCAGCAATCCCAGCACTTGGGAGGCTGAGGCAGGAGGATTGCCATGAGTTCAAGGCCAGCCTGGGCTACATCGGAAGACCCTATCTCAAAAACAGGAGGGGGGTGATGCAAGGAGACATTAGTCATCTCTATCTCTAGAAGATTATAAAATTTTGTTTAAACTACTGAGTTTGTAGTACTTTAGGCAGCAGTAGAAAATTTATATAGTATGGAATTTAATGTCATAATTATGAGTACTAAAAGTGTCAAATAATAGTATACTTTATATTGAAATCTAGCTGATTTAATTTTCAATATTTTGAATGTTATAGCTATACTGAGTTCAAATAAACATGAGAATGATTATAACATCAACATGATCATAATCTATGAGTTCCCAACAAGAAGGCAAATGACTATCATGTTTTCATGATAGGACATATGTGACTGGATTTGGAGGTAATATACCAAAACAGGGTATATTGCACAGTACACAGAGAAAGATTAGGGATTGGCATGATAGATATTGGGATGTGAAAGCAGATATGGAGAATGATAATCAAATTCTTTTCAGTACTTACTATTTCAAAAAAGAAAAATACTGATGTTCATTGAAAATAGTGACCTCAGATCAGCTTAGGTCTACTCCACAAATGAACACACATCATCATATGGTGCCCTTGGTTGCTCTGTGGAAAGGAATAAAGTTGCAGTTTTTGAATCTGAAATTTCAATTCTATGCCCTAAGGGAGAATAAAAGGGAATATTTTAATAATGGATGCATTGGTCCTTTACAGTGTAGAGCTTATTCTTTCAGATATTACTGGTAATATAATGTACATCAAGTGATGTGGCCAATTATATCAATAAGAATATGTTCCCAAAGCTCAAGTAGCTTGATTTGTCAAGTCAGATTGAAGACTTTAATGAAACCCCAGGGTACATAAGCATACAACATACAACATTGTTGTTTTATTTTTTAATAAATTCTAGATTTATGTATCTGTGTTTTTATTTTTAAATTAATTTTATTGGTACCCTTAGATATACACATTGATCGCATTCATTATAGATAATTTGTACCTGTGCATGATATATCTTGATTCTTCTTTTTTTTTTTCTCTGGTTCTGGGGATCAAACTCAAGACCTTGCCCTTTTGAGGCAGGTGCTGTGCCACTGAGCTAAATCCCTGGCCCTTGATTCTTATTCTTTCCCCCAATCCCTTCAACTCCTCTTCCCATCTTTATTTCCATTTTTTCCTTCCATTCTTCTGTGTGTTTGATAGACCATATAAATACAGATTTTGGCAAATCCCGTTCTGTCTATGTTTCTTGCTAGTGAAAATTAAAAACATGTCATCTGGTAAACACCATGTAAAAATTGTATACAACACTATTAAAAAGGAATTTGATTGTTTATCTATGATACCGATGCTTTCATAATAAACATCTGTTGTCACCTTTTTCAAAATGTATGGAAGCACTCATGTTTTTTTGTTTGTTTTTTTACTTGAGAAATAGAAGATAGGCTCCTCGGATATGTTCCTTAAAAATAGCTATTCTCTGAAGTAAAATACTATCAAATTTCGGACAAAAAGGATGTCTTTCTCTAAC